CCCACCTGCTGAGGTGCCTCCTTCCACTTGTGGTCTGCAAGCTGGCCTCCCCTTCTGGGAAGACACCAAAGGGAGGCTTTTCTTGCACAGCATATTATTGGCCATCTCAGTTCTGGTGAGGTTCCCACACTGCAGGAAGTTAGAAACGTGGGGTGAGGGCTCCTTTGATTTCCAGTTTCACATCCTCAGGGGGTGGCCCTCTGGTGGTGAGGCTGTGGTCACCATCTTGTTGAGTTTGGCTATGCTGAGACAGCAGCCTAGCCGGCAGGGGTTGGAATGCAGATGGCGGTGGAGATGCAATGTCCATGCCTTCCAGCTCCAGTCTCAGTTCTGATGGCATCTCCCTACCAGGGGGCCATCCCTGCAGTCCTGGATGTTCCATGACCCTACGTGAGACACTGCCAGGCAACATTCCTCATCTCACCTCAGGAAGTGGGCAGGCAGGGCTGCTGGTGCTGGAGGCATACAATGTGGGGCACTGGTGCCTCAAGCCATAGGACCCAGCCATAGTCTCTGTGAGCTCAAAATATCTGGGTACCTGAAGTGTCCCCCTGCCTCACATTTTGAAGAAAGAAGTTGCCCAGAATGGAATAGAATCTTCTTCCAGCAAAAGTGGGATCTAAACATGATACATAATAAAAACTCTTCCACCCGCCTGTAGGGGCAGAACCAGTTTAGGATTGGCTGGTCCTGAGGTATGGGCTTCCCACTGTAGCTACATGGCCTGGTTTGTTTTTCTGATTGAATCACCCTGGTATTGCTCGTGGCATGGACATGGGAGGAGAAACTGCATTAAGGGGGAAAAAAGCAGGGTCCACGCAGTTAGATGACAAGCGATTTTATTTTGCAAAACAATCACTATACAGCAACAAATACAATTGCAAATTGGATTGAAAAACATGAACTACCTACCACCAGCCATCCAAGAAATGCCTCCTTTATGATAACAGGCTCTAGAATTGTTAGGAAAAAGAAGTAACCCCACAGGCTTTGCAACAGCATACTGTTTCTTTAAAATAATTTTAAAAGGAAATGGGGTGCATCCCAGCACATAGAAGGTGATTTTATATTTCTCTTTGCTAAAGCTGAAATGGCTGCTAGGCCTGATCTTGCCAGATCTGCAAAATCCTCTTCCTATTTGTAAAGGAATTTGCTTGATTACCCTGTTAGTCATGAGCAAGCTTGAACATGGCATTTATTTACGACCATGCAAGTTGTGACTGAGTGGAACACAACTCACCAGCCATGTATTGCACTCTTCCAGTTGCCCTGTTTTCCAGTTCTATGGAGGTAGCAAAGCCAGGATGCTTCTCAAGCTGCTGGCAGTCCATGCTCAGCATAGCAGGCCAAACACTTAGGCTGAACATTGAGTCTGCTGCTTCATCTTGAATCACAAAGGCAATATATACTTCATATCTTTTGGAAGGGTTTCTGGGATCCAGTACTACAGAAGAACCCCTTGTATGCTAATCATAACATGGTAGTCCACATTTTTGGATCCTCTGGAGACACACGCTAGCTAGGCAGATGTAGGTATTTGCAAATAGCCAGAATGAAGGGAAAGGTTGCAGCTGTATGCATGCCTATTGTTAGGTGCTTAATGCCTTACAATCAATATATCATAACCCAATAGGCAGTGAACTTATAATTAGTAGCTTATTGTTGTTGCTTTTGTTGCTGGACAAAGACCTGTCTATCTTTCTTCAGTCTCTTCATGCCTAAGGTCACACAGAGCAGATACTATGAAGGTAGGGAGAAAATAGGGACCTTGCTTTCTGAAGAGACGGTTTTATTCTTGCCTGAACTGTTTATGTTGGTCTGAAACATTTTACTCATCTTTCTTTTGCATTGTTTATTTGGCTAGAATTTAAGAGTTTGCTAGTCGAGGTTACTGTGCTGGGCCTCAAGGAAACTTGACCAACAACTTCCAGATGGGAAATTGGAAATTTCAGCAAGAGGAGAAATGACTAAAGGTAGTGCCCACATGGCTCCAGTTGGTTTTGGTGTTATGAGTGCCAGAAATTTTCTCCTTGCACTGTGCCATTCCCTTTGAAACAGCCTATGTTGGGGAAGTTAATTTTTTGTTAACCTTTCCTGCCCCTCAACTCAACCATCCCCTGTGTAAATCTAGAGTCCGGTAACATTGTGTGTGCATTTCTTATATTACAACATGGCTTCCTGCTGACTTTTCAACTTGTATAACTTCATCAAACTCTGCAACTCTTTCTATGGAAGGACAATTGATTACAAGGACTTGCTTTAGGATGAGAAAGATAAATTTCCAGCATGAAATTAATGACTCAGAGGCTTTGGACACATATATTCAATAAATAACTTCACCATCTAGAATGTGTTTATATTCCAAAAAAGCAGAATACAAAATAGTCACAGACTGAACACTGTTCTGATTGCCTAACATTCCGCATCAGTTCATGTGAGGTTCAGTAGTACCCTGGGAACCCTTTCAGATTGGAAAAAACACATAAAAACACGGAGAGGCTAATCTGCAAGTATCAATAGCACAGAGCAGAGTGACGCTTGATTAAAACTACTACTTCCTTCCTTCCTTCCTTCCTTCCTTCCTTCCTTCCTTTCTTTCTTTTCCGAAGCAGTGGGAATGAGTCCCACTGTTTGGACCCTTGGTCTGATCTAGCAGGGCTCTCCTTATGTTCCTAATCAGTGTGTTTTGCAGCCTACCATTATTCCAAGTAACACTGTAGCAATTAAAGGGTAGAGCAGTCCTTCTGATGCACTTCAGATTCTGAGTTAACTTTCTTAAACAGTATGTCTGCATTATAAATGGTATGAGGCAACTTATGAATCAGCTTTTATGATATAAAATGTCAGTTCATCCGCAGTCATTTGAACAAGCTCTACGATACACTGTGTGGGGAATGTGCCGTTCCAATCCATTCACAAATGAAAGCCTAAATAATTTAGGAAGCTTATGTTTAATTAGGACCTGATTTAATTCCAGTGCTGTGGAATTGTCCTGAAATACTGTTCAGAGCTTTAGATATGTGCATCTAATTATTGCATCCTAATGAATGCTCAGGTCATGATAAATGTGTATTGACGGTGCCATGAATTCTTTATTCATACTGTTGTTTATCTTCTTTCAATGTTATTTAAGCATCAGTCTTGGATACACACACCAGGTTAATTGAGAGGTTTAAGAGGTAGCCCTTTTCAAACAGCTTCCAACACACAAAGCCATCCTAATGAATCAATCATGTACAGCTGAACTTGAGAGCATGCAAAAGTTATATAGATGGTTTCATACGGGAAAAAGCAACCAAGCTGCAGGTTGAAATAGGGAACTGAATTATAATCTAGTCAGTTAGCATATATAACATGAGCAGACTATTGTCTACTTATGTGTCATATTACCATACCCCCATACCACATGTATCCATGTTTTAGTGGTGGAAATCCCATAGACTCCAGTTGTTTTAATATTTAGGGATCCCTGTCTTATTTCTCATCCTTGTCACATACTTTTTATATTCAGCATTTTTTTCTGCAGATTTATCTATCAGTTCTATCACCTTGGTGATGTGTATGGGCAACTTATCTAATAATGTTTCCAGTAATCAACATTACATATGCATCTTCTTCCTGAGGCACCTGAGCATATCTGTGCAAAGATGTCATTAAAGGAATGGAATGACTTCTATTAAAATGATCCCTTTGTTTCTTGGAATTTCAACTTTAGCAAAGGAAAAAAATAAATAAGCAACTTCAAGCTTCACTTTCACTGCAGGATTTTTTAAAAGCCAGAACAGAATCATTATTTTACTCATTTGTTAAACATCCCAAATCATCTTTTTGGAAACTTTTTTTAACAAATTCACAGACCCGTTAAAATCAATTATGGTGGAGAAAAAGAGAACGAATGGAGAGTATTTTTTCTAGAATCACAGAACAGACTTGCATCTGGCACTAAAACAGGGTCACAGTTTTGAGATGTTACAAAAAGCAATTTCATGCTAAAAGGGTTGTTGCCTTTTTTGCCTTTTTTATAAGTCAGAATAGGGAAATAAAAACCCTGCTAACATCTACTTTTACATACCTAAAACTGCAACACCAAAGGGTGCAAGAGACACAGATACTGTGAATAAAGTAGAATATCCAAATATGAGAGGGCGTATCACAAATGGTCACAGAGAAATATATAGCTATAATACTGTATCAAACGAATGGAAAGGATGTGAAACCAGTAGTGTAGACACAAACCTAGCTGCTTAGCCAACATCCTAATCAGACATATTTCCATTGCTTAGTTTCAGTAGCTGCTTTTAAAAAAGAAAAATGCCACTTCCCCAATACAGTTCATAGGATTTTTTTTCCTCCCCAACTACTTTAATTATTAGTTAAATAATTTATTGGAATCAGCTATACACTGACATAATTATCCAAGTCCAACAACATTAATAACTTAATTGACTCTTTCTTCTACCCATTTATATAAAATAACCCCACCCCACACACCCACTTCTGAAGCTTCGCCATTTTTATTTGCCCTTCCGTCTGGTACACAGATGCTCCCGTTTAATTTGACTGGCTAATAAATGACAGTGGGAGATGTTCCTTAATTCCATCCATCAAGAGAACAGTAAAATGAGCAACTCGGGGTGTTTCACTAGGCTCTCCAAAGAGTGATGGATGGCCTTCAGCCACACGGAAGGTAAAAATGCATTGGATCAGAGTACGGTACTCCATGCAAGACAGAGCAGAGCAACAAGAATTGTCCAATGTAATGTACTGCAATTGTACCCACATAAAAGCCAGTGTCTTCCCGTTGTAAATGGAAATCAGGCCAATTTCTGCATCTATATATATCTTTCCCCCAGTTTTTATTTTATGGTTACTACAGTCTTGGGATGTGACTTAATTTTAGACATGGTAAGGAATGAATGTTAACACCTGCTCAGAGCCCATTAAAGGCAAGAGCTCATGCCTAAATATTATTACTTCGAGCACTGCTAAATGAAGCAAATTCATAAGCCCTGCTTCGCCAGGGCTGCAGTGACGTCTTCAGCAAGGGTAGCGAGCTGAGGAGACTCAAGCAGGTTGATGCTGCCAGAGGAGGAGACATTGCTGAGCCTCCGTGGGGAAGCCACGCTGGATCTCCCTGGTGACTGTGTGATGATCTCAGCTCCATGATCTACACGGGCTTTAGCATGCTCTCGGAAATTTAGCTTCTGGCTGTCAATCTGTGCAAGGAAAGGAGGCTTATAAAGACATTGCAACAACGAGGGATATGTGAATCTCTGTTGAGTAATTGTGCCAGTTGCACTCATTTGCTTCCTTTGGAAGAGTGAGACATCTCCCAAATCTATTTTGGAAAGATTTTATTTTGGAAAGGTGTGCAAAAGTCAAAGTGAGCCAGTTCCCGGCATGGCTGACTGGGCAATGCTGGAATTTGTAGGCATTTATTCTGTCCAAATGAGGGCAGTATCCTGCTTCCATTTACAAGTTTTTCAAATATTAGTCTATAATAGGCTATTTTATGTCTATTTTATGTCCAAAGGTGCTTTCAAGAGGAGGTTTCTTGTTTCAATTCAGAAATAGAACTGAGACAAAATGTGGCAAGTGTCTGATGGAATCCAGTGGGTCATGGGCAAAACTTGGTAAAACCTTGTGGCACAAGGTTGTAATTTCACTGGTAAGAACTACAGCATTTAAATTTGCATAGATCTAAGATTATTGACTTTTGCTAGTTACATGTCACAAGACACTTTTACAGGTTGGAGAAAAAAAATGACAGTTCAAATATGAATGCCCTTGGCATGGTTGTATCAGGATCTCCTGCTCAGGGACAAGCCCAGACTGAACCTGCATTACGGTGGCTTCAAGTCATAATTTCTTTTGAAGCACGCAGACTTTTCCTTTGCATGCATTGGATTTCCTTGGGGCAAAGTGATCAAGTCTGCACCACAAACAGCCCTGCAGGACATGCATGCTTGTCTCCAGGATGGAGATGTGAAGGCCTGGAGGCAGGGCCATGGGCGGCAAATGATGGGAGACTGTGTGGTGGAGAAGTGAGGATGAGAACAACAAGTGGTATAGTCTTCTAAGATGAGGGTTTGAAATACTTTTGATAGTCATTGTATTAATGCTACAAAACATGTAGATCTAGGTTCCAGAGACAGTAATATTAGCGATCCTACCTTTGGTATTTCATGTTTCCAGGTGAATATATTTTGGTGTTGGAAAATTACTTCCAACAGTTGCTGCTATTTTGTGCAAACAAAGAGTCTGCCAAACAATTAATTCTGGAATGTGGTGATAAGGGCTTTGCACAATGCAGTCCCTAGCAACCCTCTTGTCTTGTATCCTTCCATTTTCTTCACTGAGCAGAATAAACTGAGCTATGTTTGAAAATACATACATACAAATATGTCACAAACTACCATATGAAAGAGGTAAGAAGCTGCTTGCAAACCACCCATCTTCTGAAGTCTTTTTTGTCTTAATGATCACATACATATTTCCATGCAACTAACTGCACAACTGTCCTTTCAGGAACTGGTCTGCATGAAACAACAATACGGAGTCTAAGTATGGGTTGAGCAGGAGCTGTTATGTGGAATCAAAATGCAGGAAGAAAATTTATGGTTCCTTCTTGGGTTCTGACATCTGGGCTGTTTATGGCTAATAACCCATAGTGTGGGGTTTACATGTAATCACAATCCAAGATTCCAGAACCCATGAATCACTAAAACCTATATTCAACCCATACTCACCCCATATCCATCCTGTCCTTGAGGTGAACCAGCAACTCACTTTCTGCAGTATCCATGCAATAAAGAATAACTGGGCTGAAGATAAGTTGTTCCATTGATTTCAATGGCACCTGACCAAAGTGCAACTAACTTCATCTGGATACAAGTTTACAGAAAATGCAAGGAGTGATTGTGTCACTATGAAGACTGTCTAGATGGCTATGCCGTACCTTAATGTTACCTCCTCCAGGTACATGGTGAGCATTTTCGAGTGAACCAACCTTAGCATGGGCCTTTTCTTTAAAATCCAGTTTTACACTCTCGATTTTCACTCGTCCCCCACCTATATGTTAGGGAGAGAGAATAAGACTGAAAAAAGTCAAAACTCTCCTATGACCACTCCTGTGGTCTCTTGTGAAGCATTTTTCTTGGAAACAGACAATATGTTAGTTTAGGAAGAAAGTGACCACAAAACATTTTCCATTTGAATATGGTCTAACCTCCCCCCTGCCGTTACATTTTGTTCCATTGTCACTATTTTTCAGTACTTCCATTGTCACAATTATCTTACCTCTTCCAGTTAATGTGGGGCATACCTCATGGAGGATCTTAATTACAGAACCATTACAATATTTTAAATTTACCCAATCTTTATTGTAATGCAAAACAAGAAAATACTGATGTGGTCTAAACTTAACTCTCCGACAACAGAGGGGAGTCAAACCAGCCTTGACAGGAGTGGGAAAAACATCTTAAAACTTTTGAATCCATCTTTCACAACTGAGGTAGAAATTGCCATGTTGTGCTTCAGCCTTCCCCTGTCCCAATTTAATAAAAGAATCAATATTTTTGCATTTCTGGCTTTAGAGGTCAATTCTACTGAAATGACTGAGACAACTGAAAAACCATAAAGAGGGTTCATGATGACCCCAACAAATGCTGTTCAGATGTATTAGCTATTTGACATTACTGCAGATGCTTAGGTCAAAAATGGTTGCTTTCATTTCTTGGGTGGGAGGAAAAATAACAATACTTGGTCTATTTCATAATAGTCAAATTAAGGCACAATTCTATTGTCTCCTGAAGTGGGATTATTTGGAGTTGCAGTCCCAGGAACCTGTGACTTCAGTGCTGGGACTTGAAACAGAGAGCCTGTCCCTGCCCTGCCCCCCACTGCAGCCAGCATAGTGCAAATCACATCAGCTGTCTCTCCAAGTTTGGAAATCAGTTTAGGAGAGGAGGAAAGGGACTGTGAAAGGGGAGAGGTTGGAAACAATGGTTGGCAAACTCAAAACAAATCAGAAATCACCCTAGCAGTTTCTTGCCCATGTTTTCATACAAAGCTTTTTATGTGCCAAAAATGGCAAGATCAGTGATTCTCCTGTGTTTGGTGCATAACTGTACAACAGTCTTAGGTTAGCATTTCAAATTCAAGATCATCCTGTGCTATAATAAAATGAAAGCTGATGCAGACACCTGTGACCAGATGGTCTCCACAAATACTTCAGGTATGATCAAATGAGGACTGATTGTGTGTGTGTGTTTTTCAATATATTGGACACTGCCTGCTTAAAGCTGAGCAATCCATGTAGGTATGATCATCCCAAGAGACCTATTTTCCTAGCACACATACATCTGAATAAATTGACCGTGGGCTCTGTCTAGTAACACACCCAGCTTGCTAGGGACACAGAAAGAGGCAGCCCTAGAATTTGTATGGCCCATCACTGCTGGCACAAAGAAAAAGGGAGAAGATCACCTCCCTGGGAAATTGCACAACAGAAAATTGCAGCAGTTATGAGCTTATGCTTCCACTTGGCTCTCCTACATGTGCAGTTTGAAATGGGACAATCATATATCAATTGCATAATCATGTACTATAACTACAAGGTCTGTGTGATTTGTCATTAATGCACAGCTCATAATTTCTACACTGTTACAAATGTATGCAACTGTCATAATCATTTTACATGTAGGCTGAAGTCAGAATATATTGTTTTTTGTTTAAAAAACTGTAGCTACAGCCCTTATACTTTTCTTGTAAGTTTATGTACTTGATATTGTGGAGTATTGTTGACCCCAATGACTTATTTGCAGATATACCAATTTGCTGGAACAGGAAAATTCCCAATTTAGACCTGATTTTTAAAAAACTAACATCCACCAGATATATTTTTAAATGTGTTTCTTGGGTACATTTGACCCCAAACCAGATTGATTCTATTCATTTTTCTGTTGATGGAAGGTTAAATTAAATTGAATTTCTTCAGTCATTACTAAATAATTCAGGTATCAGCATCCACATAGTAATTTCCCCAAAGACCTAGTTGAGCCTCTAATGGCATTTTGGCACTTAGGTGCTGCACAATAGCCTGTTGCAGAAGCTGGGAGTGAATGATGGGCAAATTCTATCAGCTGCTTTCCATTCTGGGCTTGGAAAACAGAACTGTTTTCTCTCCACTCCAAAAAATGGAAAACTTCAGTCTTTTCTGTGTCTGATTCTGACTTCTAGCCACATCAGAAATAAAGAGCAAAAGATGCAGAGTGCCTTCCCAGAGACACAGCTTTCCGTTTCCACTTCCCAATTGGCCATGCTTGTCGGAAGCCTCTTTCCCTCACTTTCCCATGTGGGAATGGCAGTATCTCAGATGCCAGGGACCAGTTTTCCCCAGGGCACCTGAGTCATTAACACAGACATCAGGCATTCCCAAAACTACAGGTATTTGGGGGTTATTGTGAAATTCCATTTTCCTTCCAGGCAGTTTCAAGATTCCAAAAGAGTCAGTTTGCTGAAGTGGTTAAGAGTGCAGGACTGGGCCTCAGGAGACCCAGGTTTTAGTCCCTGCTCAGCCATAAAGCCAACTGGGTAACTTTGGGCCAGCCACAGACTCTCAGCCCCACCTACCTCACAGGGTTGTTGGGGGGATAGCAGTGAAAGCAGGAAAAGAATGATGTCAACTGCTTTGAGTTCTTTAAAAAAAGAAAAAAGTGAGATATAAATCTAATAGAATAATAAATAAAGAAAATTACCTGGCCTATGACGGATATTCTTCAGTGAGCCACATTTGGAAGTCACATGACTCAAATCTATCTTCTTGGTTACAATTTGCACCTGTTAAAACAGCCAAAACATATTTCAGGAACAAGAAAACAAAAACTAGAAAGGGAAAGTGCCCAAACTTTGAAAAATACTGCAAGGGAATAGGTGATTAGAACAATACCATCATGCCACAAAGGAGGGAAATACACCCAGATTAATGCAGCAAGCTTCCCATTCGGACAACCAGCCTAGTAGTACCATGTTAAAAGCCTTTTTATTAGTAAAGTGAAGATGGTAAATCAGGAGGATGAGTAAAGTTATTTTCTAAGAGGTTTCACATTTTAGTTGGCCTCAGGGCTGTGTGCTGAGAACTATGTAATTTTTTTCTATTTTCCTTTTACGTAAGATTTTCCAGAATGTCCTGTTTTCTATGGTTTATCTGAATTTCTGCTTCAAGAATCTTTCAGCAGTGTTTAATTACCTAGAAATAGATAATTTTGCAGATAGAATGTTTGGCCTGGCAAATTATGTTTATTTCCTTTTTTCAGTTAAAAGTTTTTTTGTTTGCTTGTTTTAAAAAAGAATAACTAAACTTAATGTATTTAAATCCAAGGAAGAGGAAATGGGACGTTTCAACAGAAACTTGGTCTTTTGTTCCTCCAGTACTGGCAAATTGAGCTAAGCAAATATAAAAACATAGCAATTTTTTAAAAGTACAAAATGTCTTCTTCTCCCAAGTATTCCTGGCCCTTCAGAAGGTTACAATTATACATATCATAGAATACAATTGTTCTCTGGGCCATTTTGGAACCACCATAAAGTATTTCCCTCAGTTACTTAGGAATGAGTTTGCCCCAGCCTTCAGCTACTACTGGGCCTTTGGGCTCACAAAAGGGGCGGTGACTCCGCACTGCCTCTGCTGTAGGATGAAATCGCATCAAAGCTGGTCAGGAGCTGCATTAAACTCTCCTGACTCTCACCAGCAATGGCTGCCACCTGGGGAGGAAGAAGCATGGGCAAATGTGTGTGATCCCTTTCCATCCAAGTACCTATTGTAAGCCGTCCTGAGCCGTTTGTCGGAAACGACAGGATATAAATGTTTAAATTAAACTAAATTAAAATTATTGCTAGCCTTACCTCCATGTCACTGGGAATGAATTTGCCAGTTAAGCAGAGCAAGTTTTGGGTCCTGCATGGCTCCAGGTTGTTTTTCTTTGTGGGCTTTACATAACTGCAGATTTTATTAGAGCCAACAGCAGCCCCGACTGCACCAGTGCCTTGCAGAACAGAGTGCTGTGAATGTGTCGCGATGTGTGCCCCCCCGACTTGGAGTGGGGCATTCCTTGTGGTCTGTGAGAGATCCACCATTCAACACACAATGCTGACACACCAGTAGACCAAGGTGGCATGTGAAGCAGGAGTGAGAAGGGAAGCAGTGCTCGGTAGGGAGAGAAGAGTGGGGTTGCCACAACCGGCTGGGGTGCCCCGGAAGCTACCATCTCTACTTACATTTCCTCCCCCTGCTGAATGTTTGATGTTATCCTTGGAACCACATCTGGATTGAATATCACTAAAATCAATCTTCTTGTTTAAAATCCTAACCTAAAAGGAATCGGAGGTTAACTTGCTATAAAGAAGGTTCAAGTCTACACAGTTCTCAATGCACGTGATCCTGCCTGTCTCAGCCGAGGGGGGCATTTGGACTAAAAGTGATGCCCCACTCTGTCAAACGCCTTACAGAGCAGCCGCCACTGGAAAATATGCCTTGCTCTTTCTTTCCCATTGCTCTCCAGGTGTCTGTATGGGAAAGGAAAACTAATTTCCAACATTCTGAGAGGTACCAGGTGTGCCCAGGTGAGTGTTTGCTAGGAGGTGCACATTCAATGCTCATTGGTATGAAGATGGGCACAGGGAAGTCCTAATAGGCCTCCAGACTGTTACGAAGGGGTATGGAAGGAGCAGGGTGGAGCCTGCACCTGGTACCTGCCCAGTAAGATCTGTGCATTGAAGTCTTACTGTAGGATTTCAAGCTCTATTATCACCTGGGATTTCCTTATTGCAGATCTTTTTCAGCCCCACTTTACAACCCCACATGATTTGCTCTGTAAGAGTCGCCCAGTCCTCCTCCTCGCATCATCAACCTTCCTGCCATCCCCTTTGTATGATTTTGTTCTGTGGGGTTCCAGCAGAGGATACATTAAAACAAAGGTCTAAGAATGTCTGCTGGAGCAGGATTTCTTGAAACCTCTTCTGCTTTCTTAAGTAAGGCTAATCTCTTGTGTCCCTTTAACACTTGTTTGTTCTAGACACTAGGATATTTATTATATCAAAACTTCTGCATGGAGCTTGACAAAACCTACCTCCATGTGGGAATGTTCCACAGGGGATTGTTTGTGATTAAGCCTGCATATGTGGTAAGAAGCTTACAAATATTACAGTTTACATGTGGAGAATTGCCATGCAGAAGTCGTTTTTGGCAGCTTTCACACATGAGGCTCCAATGTATTATGTGACCTTCACTTGCTCCAAAGTCTATAGAAAGGCAAACATGTGGGATGGGAATACCTCTACTATATGCCAAAAAAGACCTGATGGAGGGGCCACAGAATCAAGATGGTTTAAGACAAATAGTGACACCTACTAACATTTCAGGGATACATATGCTTGAATGATCCACAAACAGTCCATCTGAGAAGCAGACTCCACTGAACTGCTCCGCAAGCTTAAAAAAGCAGTTGGAGGATGTATTGTGATGTATTTTCAGACTGGAAATATTTCCCGTATTTTAATTGTTTTAATTTTCAATTTAAAAAAAAAAGTGGAAAAAGGAGTAGGAAAGCTACTGATAAGAGAGAGAAAGAAAAGAGCATGCCTTTTATAACATATCTATACATGATAGTCACATTTAACAGGAAAAAAGGAGTCCGTATATCTAAATAAGCATCTGTACAAAACTGACAACCATAGGATGAGTTTAAATGTAGGAAGGTCAGAAATTCTGAATTGTGGGTGGGCTTTTTTTCTTCTAATTTGCAACTTAAGTTCCTTTGTAACTGGGAGGGCTCCCAGTGTCCAGTTTTGCTCTCCATCCACTAACCATGTCTCCCCCCACCACACACACACACACGACGCACACACAGGGATGTAGTTTAAAACATCTGCAATTATGACAGATTTTGTCAGGACAAAATATATGAATAGGGCTGCCCTCCAAAAAGAGGCCACCATTGGGCATGTTCACATCATATGCCTCAATGAGGCTTTGTCTGTGCTCTTTCGCCAGCATCTAGCAGAACCAGCTTCTTAGCTAGCCTTGGTGGCATCCAACATGTGAAAATTATCTTTTTTGTGGAATCAGACTTAATCTGAAATCTACAGAAGCAATTTACATGGAACCCAGGGCAACTTCCACTGATTAGACTTTATAAAGCATTCTAACTCTTTATTCCCTGCCTCTCCATTTTGAATACCTAATTTACTGCATTCAAAAGAATTTTAGAAGCCTCTATTGTAGGCTTACCTAAGATATTGTAGGCTTAAGCATTTATCCCATATACAAGCTCCAGTAAATATAGTGGTTAACTATACTGCCAATGGTGCAATATATAATCCCCAATGTTGAAATGGTATAAACTCGCCATCTGATCCTATTAACTGGTCTACACTATACATCCTCCATGTACAGAGCTGTCTCTCTGGAGACTGGATTCACCCACAGAGTTAATTTAGCCTGAAAATATGATGCCAACTGCCGCTGACAAAACATTGCATGCCAAGTCTCTCTTACTGCTCAAATTCCTAGTGGTGTTTTTACTTTTGCTTGTTTGCTTGCTGGTTAATATGCCTAGATCCCAGTGCCATCCAGCCAGAAGGAGGTGCCAAATAAATTGACTCCAGAACCCATGGATGAATATTCAAAGAAAAATAAATGTTTTATAGTCATTGGAATGAGTTAACAATAAACCTTATGATGTGAATGGTAGATAGAAGAACTTAATTTTCCCTCCTTGACTAGCAACTTCATCCTCTTCAGGGGAAATGAGAAATATCATCAGTATAAATACAGACCATTCCCCACCCTCTCTGATTTATGTCCTTCTATTGCAATGAATTCCTCTACATTTATGGCTGAGATTATATTCTTCTTGCTTCCCATGCTTAAAAGCTAGATTTGATTTGATAGCAAACAATTCCTTTTAACACCTTTCTCCTGGTCAAGCAACAACAAAAATCACAACCCCGGTCACAAAATGTTCATGAGAAATGTGTGATTGCGTATTCACATACAATGACTGTCTCATTTTTAAACCAGCCCCTTTTAGCATATATATGAAGAGTCATTGTCCATTGGACAAAAATAAATAAGTTAATTAAAACAACATCATCCTTGGAACTTCAGGATGAAAGTGCAAGGCATGAGGCATTTATTGTGCTCCTATGATCCCTTACTCACAGAAGTCTGTACAGCCTTTCATGATGTAAAGGGACTCAGACTCACTGAGAGCCAGTGTGGTGTAGTGGTTAAGAGCATGGGACTGGGACTCAGACGATCTGGGTTCTAGTCCCCGCTCAGCCATGGAGCCAACTGGGTGACTTTGGGCCAGTCACAGACTCTCAGCCCTGCCTACCTCACAGGGTTGTTGTTGTGGGAATAAGATGGAGGAGGAGATATAAGCTGCCTTGAGCCCTTTGTAGGAAAAAGGCAGGATATAAATCAATCAATCAATCAATCAATCAATAAAATGTTATCATTCTCCAGAACCTCTCTGGAGTTTTCCAAACCTATTAATAAGTTTTTATTTGAGTGCGGAAAGTCTGATATTAAATTTTAAACCATATTGGTACAAAAGCCTCATCAGAAGTTGCCAATCTGCTATACTGCAGCTATACCATTGTGCCACCTTGTGGCTGGCTAAGATAACATGTGGAAAGGCAAAGAATACGAACCTCAGGAGCCCCACACAGACACAAAGAAGGGGGCTCAGGAAAGCAGTGGATTAAAATCCTCATGTGGAGAACCCCCAAGAAAGCAACAAAGGGTAGCAACAACATGATGGATTCTGTGCTGGGCA